CTTGATGTGGAGACTTGAAATGACCATTTTATTCATTACCCTCATGCCATGACAGCACAGATTGAGCTGAGCTGGGACAGCAGCAGTGTTGCATGGAAATCAGGATTCTCTAGGGGGAAAAAAAGAGTGGTCAATTTTGGTTTCATCTTTCTATCATAATCTGTGAAGACAGAGAAGATATCTTTATGATTGAAAACTAATTTTTCCCTCTAAAAGTAATGTCACACATTTCATCCAGCAAGAAAAACCATACACCTGTTAACAGATCCTGTAAATCTTGTTTCAAAGGAAAAATTCATCTTGATGCTTAAGTAATTGCCCCAACACAGCTCCACTAAAAGGCCATCACCAAACAGTCCACCAGCAACCTCTCAAATAAAAAATAAATAAATAAACTTTTTGCCTCAGTGCTTTGCCATTCAGATTCTGACTTTGTCTGTATTGTTTTTCTTCTCATTGTTCCACCTACAGTCATCAGGATAAATCTGCAGCAGCTCCAGCATGAAGCCATAGCTAATAAAGCAATTACAGTTACAAAGGGCATCAGGATTCCCCCTAAACCTTTGCCTTTCAGGACTGCTCCAGAATTCAGCTGCTGGCAGAATGTATTCCTGTATTGATTCCCAAACAAGAAAAAGGACTCGTTGCTATGGTGTTGCAAGAGGAAGGACAAATACAATTATCATATATCAGCCTGAAGAAATATAACCTAAAGTTCTCTTAGACCACAGTGTTTCAACAGATCAGATCTTCCCTGCTGCCTGTAGGAAATGCAGCAGAACAGCAACAACAAAGAAGCACCTAAATAGAAGAAATTACACCTGTTCTGTTATTCCTCCAATTTCTAAATGCGATTAATTTAAGCACCTTTATATCTTAGTGTAAGGTGTTGAAATTCTGACTAATTAAAAGGTGCCTTCAATCACCCATTCCCTGTCTGCAAGGAGGGATAAACATATTTTGATTCTGCTTTCCTGGATGTACAGTGAACCCTGACGACAGGCACCATCCTCCAGACTTGGTACCTGCTCACAAGGGTGCCCAGACCCCACAGGAGAAATCCCAAACTGATTATCAGTAATCCCAGCTAAAATGCACAACTGAGCATGAAAAGGTGCATTCTGGCTTCTTACAGTAGAAATACTTGTTTTTTCAAAACAAGGTGTCAACCAAAAAGGGAATTGATGCCAGGCAGGTATTTACTTCCTGCTTTGTTAACTCAGAAAGAATCTTTTTTTTGGCACATTAAAAACTGAGCTATAAAGTATTAATTCAATATTTAACTATGAAACTTCATGGAACTGGCACAAAAAATTGAAATAGCCAAGAAAATAGGGAAAAGACAATCATCTCAGTTTACTTGATTTAGAACCATTTCCTACTTCTCCCAGAAGAAATTCATGATTCCAGTAATTTAATTTATTAGGGCAACACCTCTATTTTGTAGAGACTTTTCCAGAAAACCATAGGAAAAACTCACCTTAAAAAGAATTTTACATTTCTGTTGTAATAACAACCCATAGTCTGAATCTACAATGAGTTTATTAATTATACATTGTTCTCAATGCATAATTATGTAAGTGCAACAAATTTGGTCTGATTTAGTTTCCCCTTATGTAGCAAGAGTACATCCATATTTAATAAGACCATTGTAGCAAAAGTGAAAGTCTAAACACCCTGCACTGTCCACAGTTATGAAGACAGTAAATTAGATCTTCAGTGTGGGCCTTTTGAGACAAATGCAACAATTAAAAACTGCATCCAAAAATTACTCTTTTTAGTGGGGGAATAAAAATACTAAACATCACACTGCAACAGTTTTGCCACAAAGCCAGTGATATGTTCAAATTCACATCAATGATATTTATTATATATAAGCTTTCAGATAAAATGCTAAAAACATAATATTGTTTCAGTCCACCTGCAACAGGCCATGCATTTTTTAAAGTATTCTACCCAATGTTTCCAAGCTTTCTTCCTAATGGCATTTCAGCTCCCTTCTCCCTGGCATTTTAAACCACATCCAGATTCCTCTGAAACCTCTTTATTTAGACTCTCAGTTCCTCAGTTCTATAGCTTTAGTCACTGTTTTAGATAGAAAATCTTGAAAACAGGAGAACATGTCAGTCTCCAGCCAGCACAAAAAGGGCTGGTGCAGGGTGCTAATAAAGTCAAGATTATTACCAGAGACTTGCAAAGCACTTTTTCTTAATCATTCGCGTGTCAGGAGAAAATTAACACAAAGCTTCTCTCTTGATGGGCAAGGGGGGAAGAAACAAGTGCAAACACTTAAAATTCTCAGCCAAGTTCACAACAAGCTGCATGGCTGAGGTACAATCAATGGAGAGGCAGGAGTACAGACCAGAGAAGAGCAGCACTGATGAACCAGGTTAACGTGTGATGCCCTGAAGGAGACCAACCCAGGGATTACAGAGGAACAGTTCCATAGGAAGGAAGCACAGCAAGATGTTTGTATAGGACACACATGCCAGGAAGTCACATCAGTGCCAGAAGGTTGCAACAAGCTTAGCTCTGAGGCAATGGGAAAAGAGAGAACTACAACATGACCAAAATAAAGGACAAAACACTGCAATAAAATTCCAAACTAAGACTTTTTTTCCTCCCTGAACATTCAAATTAAAAAAAGGCCTTATATTTCTGCCTCCAATACTTCCCCCCTGCAGTTTGTGAGAAGAGTTCCTTACCCACATTAGTGTTGTCAGGGTTTCCTTTGGAGCAGTCTTATGCATCAAAAAAAGTGTCAAAAGAAACTTATTTGAAAAACAAACAAAAAACACCACAGGGAGACAATAACAAGGTACACCTCCTGCCACAGCAGATGGCAACACACAGTCAGGGAGTTTGAAAAACTTTCAGTTCTAGCACCAGAACCTTGACCGAATCTTTCTAAGGACATTAATAGGGACGCTTTCAGAAGCAGAAAACTTCCACAGTGGCAGAAGACTTCTGCAGTTCATCCTCCAGAAGGAATTCAAAATCCTGAAATACTCCATTCAGCCTAATATAGCCCCATCTTTGTTTTCTTAAAGCTTTGCCAGCATCTCAGACATCAGTTTTAAGAAAGTTCACAGCACTTTGTATCATTTTCCATGATATCCAGTTTCCACAGATATCCATTTTGAAAAAGCCCCAGAAGAGAAGCAGAACAGAGAAGGACTCTGAGGACTAATTTCCAGCAGGCTCAGTGAGCAACAACTGGAGCGGTCTAAGCTCCCACATGCATTATCCCTGTAAGATTTCACTTTTTCTGGATGCCTTCCATCTTCTCTACATTGATATCTTCATGAAAGCAAGTCTAGCAATAACAGACTGACGAAAATGTAAATCTGTGCATTTGATTAAAGTCAGCCTGAGTATATCAAAACAACCCCAAAAATAACTCAGTCCACTTCTGGTAAATGTTGCTTTGAAGTCATATTCCATCCATGCTTTTCTCTGCCATTTCCAAAGTTAAAAGTTTATTCCACTACTGCAGGAAAAGTAAAATCCTCTGTAGATTTTCTTCCCTTAAGATATTTCTCATTTTAAGCACAGCTGAGTGCATGAAATTTGGCACGTGAAATATCAGAGTGCAAAATGGTCTTCAAGGCCCTCAACATAAAAATCAAATCTAATATTTATAGCTAAAAAAAAAATAGCTGGAGATGATGCATAAGGAAAACTCAGAAGAAACCTGGAAGCATCTAAAATATTAAATTAAAACCATTTATCTGAAGCAGAAGAGAAGTTGAAGGAGTTTACAAAAGAAGGGAAAGCCGACAGTGATGAATGTAGCAATTTGGAAACTGAGAAAGAAAGAAAAGCATGAGGAGAAGTTATGGAGGAGGAGAGCAGGGAGGACTAATAAAATAAGAGACTCCAGAGAAAGGAGAGGAAACTCTGGGTAGCCCTGTGTGCATCAAATTTTTTTCCAGGGCAGTAAAAAGGAAATGGGCAACCTCATCCCTCCTCTGACTTCAGTGATCTCACTAGAGTTAAAAGGATAAAACAGGCTGCAAAATATTAAGCTGAAGTCTCTGCAGCAAAACCCTCTCAACCCATTGCATAAAGAGCTCATCTCCTCTCATGGAATTTTCAGTTCCATTATCCAAGGGTGTTTGACATATTTACAGCTTTGACACTGAGGAAGGCAACAATCTGGATTGTTTAGGAAAGCCAGGTTCTTCCATGGACCTCTGGGGTGCAGTGGAGTTGGAGGTATCTTTCCTCTGCTCTCTCCTACTGCAGGATTTGACTACAGTATGTGAGATGTTTGGGTCTTTGTACTAAACAACCTCATTATTTTAATAGACATGGGAGCCATTTAATGATCTGCTTGCAGTGGCTCAGAAGACATTTAAGAAGAACAGATATTTCTGTGAAATTCTCTCAATTCAACATCTGCTCTATAGCTGCCTGTGACTGCAGCAGACTGGATTCAACAACCCATGTGTTCCCTGGCTATCCTGTAGTTTCAATCATTTTATTTTCTGCTGCAGGGTAGCGAGATACAAAAAGTTCAATCTTGAGAGGGCAAAAACCCAAGATGCTCAAAGCAAACGTTGAAGAATTTCTTCACAGTCCAAGGTTCATTATCACTGCAGGAAGCTTCACAAAATCAGAAATTAATTGCTTAACAATGGCAATCACTGATAGAACAGATGTTAATGTCATTACCATATTAAGAAACTGGCTAGGTAGTTAAACAACCCTGAAGCCATATGAACATTACTCCACAAAAGTAATTTTAATTCAGCTAAAATGTTCTTGAGCACTTGTGTAGTACCTTTGGATTGCTGACAGCTATGTCCAGCCTCCAGCCCATCTAATCAATACACATTTTCCTGCTGATCTACAGATAAGGTGGCTATTTATCCCAGGATTCCTTTGCAAATGGCAAAAGCAGGGTACTGTTGGAAGCATTTAACTTTGCAGGAATCTGAAGGACAAAGTGCTTTGTAAATTATTCAAGTTTCCAGAGCTACAGTAGATATGCAGGGCCTCAGTCCAGCTCACAGGGATTTCTGCAGTCTTGTGCTTTCCTTGGAGTAGTGCAGAAACACATTCTGACCCTCTGAGCATACCTAAAACCAGAAGTAAGAGGGTGTAAGGAGTCACCAATCAGCACATGGACTTTTCTATAGTGCCTCCTGTGAACACATCTTCTAGTGCTCAGTAGGACGTAGAGAAACACCTCAAGAATCTTACAGGCAGTAAGAACTATCAGCTATTGTTAAGCGTCTATTAAATTCTATAGTGTTTTCCTGTAAGGGATATACACTGTTTTGAGCTGAGTGGCTTGAATTGCATTTCATCAGTCAGCCTGAGGCCAGGGGAGTGCAGGAATGATCTGTCCATTATGTGTCTTGAAGTCATTATAACAACCATTACCAATTTCGGAGGCAGTTTTATTTAATGGCATCCATCACAGCCCTGCACCCCTCCGTGGGCACTGCCTGAGCACAGCCCTCTCCCAGGCAGGATAACCGAGCCAGACTCCAAAGGGCAGTGCTAACACGTGCCCTGCAGCAGCGATTAGCACCAGAAAGGTCAAGGTTTAAAATTAGGTTTTGCTGTTTCACTTCATAGGAGCAATTTTGGACTAATAGCTGTCCCATCTCTTATTAGCTCTGAGTAGTAAGTCATACTACGAAAGCCCTGCAAGGCACTCCTGACAATGATTTCATTTTTTTACTACTAACACCTTCAGGCATTCTCCTTGAGCTGGCACAGGAATATTATTTACATTGTGGTTAGGAAGTAGACAGGCACTGCATTTTGATTTTCATGTACTGTATTTCTAGGATTCAGAATCTGCACTCAGCCAAGTGGCTGAATACCCCTGAGACTCATTACTAAATGCAGAGTGATCTAGACAAATGTTACTGTTCTAATCATTTGTACTTCTCAAAGGCATCAGCCATGCAGCAGCAGATCAACAATTTCAAGGTAGATGTAAAAGACTCTTTTTATGCTTATCAATTTGCATATTGGAAACAGTAATACTCTTCCTTACAGTTAACAAATGAGCTGCTCAATTTACTGCTGATGTTTTTACAACTTGGCATTTGCAATTCACTGCATTCAAATCAAGATGTAAAGGATGGCCTCATGACGTTCAGCAGAGAGGTTTCCAGCACTATATATATCAGCAGTAATATCCCACCCTAAATAACCACTGTCACTTGCAACAGTAGGCTCGATTCTGACTTCATCCAGATGCGTGGGAGTTCATGCAGGAGCTCCTGATTATGCCTGGATTTTTCACTTCAAGCAGAGAATGTGTGCACCTCCATATCATCAGATAGTGGCAGTCCTTGTAATTATCTTGTCTCCTTCGATTTTTCTTAGGTTTTCCAAAGATTATTCTCCCTCTCAGAAATTATTACACCCAGGAAAATGACATTCATTAAATACAGTGAGGCAATGCTAATATCAAGGACAAGGAAGGAAAAGGGGTTGAGCTTTTATCCTTTTCATTCAAGAAAGCTGAATGAAATTATTTTTATTGTAATCCTGGAACGGGAAGAGATCAGTCTCAAGCTTTAAATTTTATAAATCTCCAAAGCACTATTTTTTTCACAGACTTTTCAAGTTTATCTTTAAGATTTTAAATTTCTTCACTGAATGAAAATTTATCTGTGTCTTCCAGAAAACACTATTCCTCGGCTAAACAAGTACCTATGTAATACCCACTCCATGCATTCAAATATCTAGCAAGATAATTCCTACTTCTCCCCTTTGCCATTTGCATTTAAATAGCCTGGCATTTCACTGGGGAGAAAATTTTGTTTAAAAGGGTATAACCTGTATTAGTTATACTTTTGTGAACAGAAAATTAGAATTACTAAAATAACAATACAAAAGCTCTTAAGAAGCCAAGAGACACCACCAACAAAAGCCAAAGCTGAGCTAACTCAAAGTTCTTTGACTCCCTAAGATCTATTCAATATTATCTGCAACTTTGGAAGTGATGTTATTCCTCTGTAAGTCCAATAGCTGCATTAAACTGATAACACATGTCTATATATCTTAGGGAAAAGTAATAAACCCTGCTGTGAAACACTATTTCCGTAGTATCTTGGAGGAAAGATAACTTTTTACACAAACTCATTTTTCATTACCACAGCATTGTCTTCTCTCTCAGACAGGATATAAGATGATTCCACAGACAAACTCAAAAATGAGTGTTTATCCAAGCTCACCCTTTACACAAAAGCTGCCCATCTCAAGAAATTAATAAAAGCAGAAATGCATTATATTCTTCCAGAAAGTGAAAGACAACACTGAGATTAGCAGAGCTAAACTATTTCAAGTTCTTTTCAAAGTAGAGACATCACCTCCCATGAGTTACAAGGACAGCCTAGTTGAGAAACACCATTTCTACAATTAGTCACTTTTATTCTTTTATTGTAACAAAATAAGTAATTTGAAACATTAACTACATCATAAGACCTTAGGAATAGTGATTTTCCAACTTTTCCTAAACCAGTTGTCTTTGCACTCTCATTCAGACACAACTTTCTTACTGTATTTTCTCCACCTTCTCTAGGCATTTAAAGAAAGCTTTGTATGTGGGTTGTCATGGTGTAAAGACAAAGGCAAAGCTTCCACGCTGCAGGGAACTCCTCAGTGCAGACGAGACCCTCCAGCCCTCTTCATGCTGTAAGCGTTACTGAGGTCCACAAGAACAACTGCTTACTGTATTTCTACAATTTCCTTCTAATTTAATTTCCCATTGAAGATATTTGTGAAATATTAACACTACTGTAATGAGATAATATGTTATTATAATCCTACTGAAACAGAGCAAGTCAGTTTATTGCTGTCAGCAGTGTAATTGCAGAGGTATTGCCACTCTTTGACCGCTGGGATGGGAGGGAAACAGAAGTGCCCAGCTCCACAGCTTATCCACAGCTCTGCTCTAGCACAGGGAGGGACACACCAGACTTGATTTGGGCTCCAACAGAAGCAATGAATAAGGTCTCCTCTCTAGCCTGGCAATAATCATCCTCTGCTCAGCACTTGCAGTCCCACCAAAAGCAGGGTCTGCAGCACAGCCTGCACACGGGGCATTGCTCCAGACCTTCCTGCAGCAGGGTGGGCTCCAGCACCACACACCTGGCTCTGAGCCAGACATTCCTTTCTCCAACATCAGCTGCTCCCTGTCCACCCTGAGCAGTGCTGATGTGACTCCAACACTGGCCAGCCAGCAGGTATTCTACTGATCATAACTAACTACAACTTTAGGACTCCTTTTCAGCACAGTCATATAGACTCAGACCCTAATTTAGTAAAACAATTCTGAGTCGTAAAACAAACAGCTCCTGCCATGGGCTACTCACAGTCTGAGCTGTAAGAACAAGCTTAAGGGCAGCTCAACACACTGCTGAGTTTAAGTTACTCATTATCCAGTCACCCACTGGCACCATTCAAGATAAGTTCCTGGTCCCTGTTCTGCTTGGCAACCTCATCTCCCACTAACTTATGGCTGCTGACCTGGAATTTCAGTGGCCTGGAATTTCAGACATGGAATTCTAACCATCTCTACAGACAGCTTTTAGAAAAAAAAATATAACTTTAGAACTAGACAAGACACAACATGCCCAGTAAAGATCAGAGTAATTGAGCCTGGCAGGTTCCTTCAGATGAACAACCCAAGGACTTAGGAAGGATGCACAGCTCACCTAGGACAGCTGATGGTGAGTAGGAATGCCCCAAGGCATTTTAGATTAACAAAATGAAACATTATACCTTTCAAACCTGTATTATCCATAAATACATACTTAAATTTAAATATTTTAAGGGGTTTTTTTGAGTGATTAGTAAATCTGTGGCAGGAAGTCTCACAAGAATATCCAAATACAGCATTAAAAACATAATTTTACCCTGCTATTTGCTGCTATTGTCAGCAAAATTTATCCAACTTCTATTGAAATACACCACTACTATTTTACTCTGTTCTTTACCTCTATTTGCAAAAAACTACTCAGAGGCAAGTAGGGCAGTGGGAATGGTGCTCCATGATAAAGGTCAAATGGTTATTTCTCTGTCCAAGCAGATTTCAAGCCAGAGATCCATTCATCTCTCCCACACCAACCCCCAGACTCAGCCAACTCGAGTGAGTGAACTTTGGCTGCAATGGAAGTGCCCAGATCCCAAAGGTGCCAAGTGTGTCCCCAGTGCTACACAAGCCATGGGGAAGCACAGTGCCAACTGACCACATCCAAGTGGCTGCTATGGACCTGGGCCGGGAAAAGGTGGGATTGGGAATGCAGTGCTGCTCTCCTCAGGGAGCAGAGCCCACTGCCATTGGGTGCTGGGTTTGATCCAGCATGGCAGGAAAAGACAAGGTGCCCGAGCCTCTCACTTGGCAAAGGGGCCACTGCCACTGCTGGCAGTTTGGGGACTGAGGAAGCTGGGGGAGGTCATTCAGGCAGCCTACATATCCCTCAGAGTGGTTATCAGGGCATTCCCACACAGCAAGGAAAAGGGGAAAGAGAAGGGTTTAACAGAAATTTCCAGAGTGAAGATAATGAGGTCCCAGGTTAACCACTGAAATCACCAAGTTCTAATGAAAGGAGACACCAGTGAACTGTATAAAGGCAGGACTTGGCTCAGACACTGCTTACACTCTGGAAACCCTTGTTTAAGTTTCTGCTGTGACTGATTCAAACCAGGGATTTGAATTTCAGCCTCTCTCAATCCCGTAAGCAACATAATCCAGTTATCACTGCCTGGCAGGGACAGGATTCCTTTGCAGCTGTGCTACTTTTATAAATAAATGTTTACTGCAGGCAAGATACAAAGATAAGTCATGACTTATAGCCAGCATATGACAGGCTACAAGGTTCAGTGTCCTCCCCACAAAGTTTTAATTTACTTGCATGAAGAACAGCTTCAGCTGCAGAGGTTGAGACCAAACCCCCAGAGAGTCCTGGAGCACATCTTGCCTTTCTTTTTGTCAAGTCTTAATCAAAAAGGTATCTGGAAAAAAAAATATCTAGAGGAAAAATCATTAGCGAGCTCACATCCTTCACAAAATGCAAAGAGATAGCTAGTTTGCAGAGGGGCAATATAAAGA